TGTGGGCATTTTGAAAATCATATTTTAAGAAAGTCGCCAGGTATCAGCTAGAAGATACCTTAACCTCTATTATGAATGGTTGGTAGGTGGTGGTTATATCTGGTGAAACTGGCTGCGGAAAAACTACCCAACTGCCACAATACATCTTAGAGTCAGAAATTGAAGCCGCTCGGGGTGCTGCATGTAGTATTATCTGCACCCAACCAAGACGAATATCTGCAATAGCAGTTGCTGAGAGAGTTGCGGCTGAGCGTGGTGAGAAAATAGGAGAATCTGTATGTCTCTTGCCCATTTCTGCTTAAAATAACATTTTACTGTTAAATCTGTTATAGTATATACCCTTTCGCTCTGTTTTACTTCCGAAGGTCGGTTATAAAGTTCGCCTTGAGGGAATGCGAGGGAGAGATACTCGTCTCCTTTTTTGTACTACGGGAATCCTTTTAAGAAGATTATTGGTTGATAGAAATTTGAGAGGCACTACTCACGTTATTGTTGATGAGATTCACGAACGTGGAATGAATGAAGGTACTTTATAACTTTATGCATACTCTTTTATTATTTATTCTTTATTTTTTACTCACGCAAATTTCTTTGCAGACTTTCTTCTAATTGTGCTGAAGGATCTTCTTTCCCGTCGGCCGGAATTGCGTTTGATTTTGATGAGTGCAACCCTAAATGCTGAACTTTTCTCTTCGTACTTTGGTGGTGCTCCAATGATTCACATTCCTGTAAGTTAGGTTTCTTGGTTAAAAGCAACACTGAATATTTTTACCATACTGGTGCGGAAGTGGAAACAAGAAACTGCTAAAATTTTTGAATTTTCTTGTACTTTTGCTTTATTGAAGTTATGGTTTTATTACTTAATCTCTTTCTTATATCATAATTGGTTGTTAACTCACATTGACTGCTGTGATTTGTTACTTTTCACTTTCTTTTCTGATCCAAGTCTGTTTTTGCTTCTTTGGTATTTGGGTCTTAATGCCAGGGTTTTACATACCCTGTTCGGAGTCTTTTTCTGGAAAACATTCTAGAAACGACTGGTTATAGGTTGACTCCATATAATCAAATTGATAATTATGGTCAAGACAAGATGTGGAAAATGCAGAAGCAGACTCTGAGGAAAAGGAAGACCCAGATAGCATCAGATGTCGAGGTATATATCTGCATATATTTTTTTCTTCTTTCTTTTCTTCTTTTTCATCCTCCTTTTATAATCTTTCCTTCTTTCTTCTTCCTTCTCTGTAAGATCGCATTTTGCTTGTTGCTGTCAGAACCTTTGCATTCTTCAAAGTATAATTATTATGTATCTTTGAATTTGTAACAGGACGCTCTTATGGCTACTAATTTTAAGGATTATAGTCCGCGAGTTAGAGAATCATTATCTAGTTGGAATCCTGACTCAATTGGCTTTAATCTCATTGAGCATGTTCTCTGTCACATTTGCCGCAATGAGAGGCCTGGTGCTGTTTTAGTCTTTATGACTGGTTGGGATGACATAAATTCTTTGAAAGATCAACTTCAAGCTCATCCATTACTGGGAGATCCAAACCGAGTTCTTTTGCTTGCATGCCATGGTTCCATGGCCAGTGCTGAGCAGGTTAGTTAAATGCCTTACAAGTGCCCAGTAATTTTTATTAGCTAATAATTGTTAAAATTTGAGAAATGGGCTATCATTCACAGGTGGTATAATATGAACAATTATGCTGATAGTTTGTGTAAGTGGCCACATTTTATTGAATATAAATAGCATTTGTAAATTCTGGCTGGATAAGGTTGTGTGAAAAACAATGTGATTTTTACCTAATAGGAGTGAGTATTTGGTGCATGGCAGTATAGGTCTGTCGGTCCATCGTCAGTCTGTTTCCTTCCACAGTCTGTTTCTATACTATCCAGTTTGCTGTCCTTTGCTAGAAAAGACATAAAATGTGAAAAGGTTAACTTGTAAAATTCAAATGGTTCTAGAATTGCAGGTTTACTTAATTTGTATTTTTTCATTTCTCTTAATGTTTTAATTTCAAATAATCAAATTTTGAGACTGTTCATTACGAATATTTAGCTTGCGATTCTGAAGTTCCTAATTCGAATATGGATATTTTTCAATAACTTGGTATAGAGTACGGCACTCTGGACAGCAAGATATAATTTTCATATGATGTCACTTGTTTGTAAAGCTAGGTTATCACCCCTCTGTTATCTTTATATTTGCCCCAGCCTTATTTCTGCTTCAACTTCTTAATCCGATATTCTCTATCATATCCCTATTTTTGGGGAAAACAGAAATTGATATTTGATAAACCAGAAGACGGAGTCCGGAAGATTGTTCTGGCAACAAATATGGCTGAAACAAGTATCACGATAAATGATGTAGTTTTTGTGGTTGATTGTGGGAAAGCAAAAGAGACTTCCTATGATGCTCTAAATAACACTCCTTGTTTGCTTCCATCCTGGATCTCTAAGGCTTCCGCACGCCAAGTAAAGTTTCTTTTATTTTTTTTTTTCTATTTAGCATCTTTCTTTTTGAAATGCCTTATATAAATTTGAAGTATTTAAATAAATGGCTATATGGTTAACTTTAATGCTGTTCAGAGGAGAGGTAGAGCAGGGCGTGTTCAACCAGGCGAGTGTTACCATCTCTATCCTAGGTGTGTACATGATGCCTTCGCAGATTATCAATTACCAGAACTTTTGAGAACACCGTTACAGTCTCTGTGCTTGCAAATCAAGAGTCTAGAACTTGGGAGCATTTCGGACTTCTTATCTAAGGCCCTCCAATCACCTGAACCTCTATCTGTAAGCTAGATGATTGATATGTAACTTCCCCTTTCCCTCTCCCATGCCTCTATATCTGTAGGCTAAATGATTTGAATATTTTGTCTTATCTGCTTCTCAGGTTCAAAATGCTATCGATTATCTAAAGATGATTGGGGCTTTAGATGAAACTGAAAAGCTTACGGTACTCGGTAAATCTGAAAGGCTTTAACTACTGGTTTACTGTTTATAGTTATGGTTGTTGCCTTGGAAGTTCGTTGTTGTATTTATTGTGAAATCAAGAGAAAAAAAGGAAGGGTGTAATACAACGATGCTTGTTTTGTTACCAGGACGCAAGTTGTCAATGCTTCCAGTTGAGCCAAAGCTTGGAAAAATGTTAACTTATGGTGCTATTTTCAACTGCTTGGATCCAATAATGACCATCGTTGCTAGCCTAAGTGTCAGAGATCCATTCTTAATGCCATTTGACAAGAAGGATGTAAGTGACATTAAAAATATGCATCACTTGGTTTTCCATCTTTTATATTTTTAATTTTTTATGCATCCCTGGTTATCAACCAGCTGTTGGATATTCTTTAGATCAGTTCAAGGATATATTGATTTCATAATCTTAAGAAGTGCCACGATAATTAATAATTATGACTGACTGCCTTGTTCATTGTATTTTATGTGCATAAGCATTCCCCATGCTCTTCGATTTCATTTGGATGAGTTTTCGTTGATATGTGAGAGTGGAATGCTGCTATCTTATGCTTTAGACTACATAAAAACTAAAATCTTTGACTTGGAGGGTTTTGTTACTACTGCTAGCTTGTTGAGTTGATAACAGCTTGTCAAATATGCTCCCAGCTTTTGTTTTTCACTACCTAGTGTCGGGATTACTTGCTTTTGCTGTCATGAGCTGCTTTAAGGTTTTTTGTTCTGGACCTGGCCTCCCTCTAGAGAATGTTCCGACTAAATGTTGAGTGGCAAAATACTGTGCTCATTTTTTTGGGTACCTGAGCATGCATTTATCAGTAATGCGGAAATCTGATTTATGTGTAATAATCTGGAAGGCACTGACAATAGCTTGAGATATTGTGTGTTGAAACCAAACAAGACATGTACATCGGACCGTTGCTCTTGTCTATTGATTCTTTTGGTTCTGTGTCTCAATGTGTTTCTTCAGGTTACTATCCGCTTAGTGTTCTGTGCGAAATCTGATCTGCGCATGCCCCTAACAATAGCATGAAACATGAATATACATAATGTATGTTGATATCGAACTAAGGCTTACATCTGACCAAATCCACCAACAATAGCATGAAATATGAATGTCCATAACCAATAAAAAAAATAAAAAAAAGAGAAAATGAATGTCGATAATATATATTGAAACCGAACAAGACATGCACATCTGACCATTGTTCTTGTCTATTGAATCTTTTGGTTATGTGTTTTAAGTTTTATTAGGTTCCGGTGCTCTTTTCTAATGATGCTTAAATAGACACTCTCTTTCATTTGGCAGATGTTAAGTTATAGTTTGAGGACTCACCTTTGATATTCTCTTTTCGTTCTTGCAGCTTGCCGAGTCTGCAAAGTCCCATTTTTCTGCACGTGACTTCAGTGATCATCTCACGGTTGTCCGGGCTTTTGAGGGTTGGAAAAAGGCTGAAAGTGAGCAGTATGGTCATGAATACTGTTGGCGGAATTTTCTTTCTACACAAACATTGAGAGCTATTGATTCCCTTAAAAAGCAGTTTCTTTATCTCCTCAAAGATATTGGTTTAGTTGAAGACATTGAGAGTTGCAATAAATGGAGCCATGATGAGCATCTAATTCGTGCTATTATATGTGCGGGTCTATTCCCTGGGATATGTTCTGTTGTGGTGAGTTGATCATAATTGTCTCAAGTCTTGACATATTTTTTATTTACTGGCCGAGGTGTCCTGAGTCTGAGTTCTCCATCTGTAATATGGAAAAGTACAATCTCTCTGATTTCTGGTTGTCTCTAGTTCACAAGGCGTCATATGTGATATATGTGATTTATATAAATCTGGATTTATGTTTGCCCTCATTTCTTTTCTGGTTCAGTTTTTGTTTCTTTACTGGCCATTCTCTAGTTTGGTCATTTATCGTTTCATGATAGTTTTGGCTGGCATTGTTATCTTCTACTAGTTGTGGGATGTTAAGGACTAAAGAGAAGTATATATGTGCAGAACAAGGAGAAGTCGATATCACTAAAGTCGATGGAGGACGGTTCAGTGCTCTTGCATTCGGTGAGATATTCAGTGCCTCCGCTGCCTTCTAGTGCTCTGGTGGATTTGTTATATGTATATATTTCTTTTCAACTTGGGCTAATAATCCCTCCATTCATTTGTCAGAGTTCTGTGAATGCCCAGGAAGCCAAAATTCGATTTCCGTGGCTTGTTTTTAATGAAAAAGTGAAAGTCAATTCTGTATTCCTCCGTGATTCTACTGGTGTATCTGATTCCGCGGTTCTATTGTTTGGTGGAAATGTTTCTAAAGGCGGACTAGTAAGTGCATGATTTCCTTGGTGCCGACATTATATTTTTAAATTTTATGGTTTTACTAAGTTGAAAGGCGATTTGCTTGTAAATGCTCCTTCTTTATTTGTAGGATGGCTATATGAAAATGCTGGGTGGTTATTTGGAATTCTTCATGACCCCTGACTTGGCTGCTACATATTTGGGTATTAAGAGAGAGCTTGATGAACTAGTTCAGAAAAAGGTATAAACCTAATCTCTTCTGGCTGCATACTGTATCGGGAGGACACAAATATGTTCATCACCTGTATACGGTTCACTGTCGTTATACATAAATCTTTTAATGATTTCTCTTCCTTATTATTGGCAAGATAAATCTGTCTGGAGATTATTCTTTTCGTTGCTCCTTGTAATCTTATCTTGTTGACCTGCAGCTTTCAGATCCGAAATTGGACATGGAGCGTCATGAAGAACTTCTAAAAGCTGTGAGATTGTTGGTCTCTGAGGACCGCTGTGAAGGAAGATTCGTGTTTGGGCGTCAGATTTCGAAAAAAGCTGAAAAAGATATTCGATCTGTTTCTGCCAATGGAGGCCATATTAATGCAAAATCTCACCTCCAGACCTTGCTGGCCCGAGCTGGACATGAACCGCCATCCTACAAGACGAAACAATGGAACAACAACAAGTTCAGATCAGTGGTTATGTTCAACGGACTAGATTTTATGGGACAGCCCTGTGGTAGTAAGAAAGAGGCGGAGAAAGATGCTGCAGCAGAGGCTCTCACGTGGTTGACTGGCGATAGCCATTCATCTGAAAAGACCGTCGAGCACATGTCCTCCCTTCTGAAGAAAAGCAAGAAGAAACAGCAAATTTCTGCTGCAAGATGGAGGTAATTGAATGATGAGCATACTTCATTTTTTTTCCTTCTTTTGGATTGCACACGACACCATGAAAAATCAGCCGCTGGTTGACAACTGGAAATGGAAAAGAACTTCATCGCTGGTGAAAATCATCCAGCTTGTTGAAGTTTCCTGGGGAAGATGCATTGTTTTGGTATATGCAAGCTGTATCTATATTAAAGTCATCTGCTTGCACTTCCAAACAGTTGCATAATGAGATAGTTAGTGTTATCTGTATATAATATATAAAAATATATTATACTCGCTTATTTGGAGTTAAGTTGTTCTATGGATTTGATACCCGAGATGCGGTGAGCAGATTCTTGCATTTTTTTCTGGCAACCTGCTCAAATGATTGTGAGGTTCTATGTTTTCGGCTCATCGGTTTCAAGTAGTAA